ACACAAAAGGGAAGGAATTTTTAAAAATGATTTTTTCAACTCAGAACTGTTGGACACAAAACTTTAGTTCCCAAGAGCACGCTTCTGAACGTTTCAGTGCTGAGGCTCTCCCTCCCTACTAGTCTTACAGCAGAGACCAGTTAATAACATAATCTGATGCTCCCATCAAGCATAAAAATACCAACAAAAACCCCCAAAACAGCAATTAGCTACAGACACTACAATGAATAATACATTCAGGTGACCTCTACAGCATTAAGAGGTCTTTTATTCTAACACACTCAAATTTGCTGCCAGTACCTTAAATCACTGGTCACACGACCCAGTTTCATGCAAGGGAGTTCAGATTTACCAGGATAATTCAGATATCCTATTTCAGACACACCTGTTCTATTCGCATTTTCCCTAGAACTTTGAGAACTCTAAAGAAAACTCCACCGAATAAAGGAAAACTACCCAAATGAATGCCCCAAGGTGAGTTTCTATGATTAAAACATCACTTCAGCTAAAACCAATAGATAAAGTGATAGTATTTATCACTTTTTTTTTTAAATGTATAATACGGCTGTGGCATTCATTACAATGATGATGTTTCTCTGCACCACTGGCAGTACCAAAACAACTGCTACAATGGAGCGATGTGTGCTGTTCTGGTAACACATCTGCTAATGTTACAGACCATTTGAACAAATGCCCTTCTGTTGAGCTGTTGCTGCAGATGAATCTATAATCCGGATCTTTAAAATAATGACAAGCCCTGAGCAGTCTGGCTGGTGCCTCAGCTGGGTTGACGTGAGGGAGTCTGCCAGTCTTCTTTCTGACTGCAGACTGATCTGTCACCTTCTGTGCACAGCTCTGCTCTCAGTAAAGCAAACTTTCTGTTTGCATGCCGTGGCTTTCAAAGGGAGCAAGTTATAAGATTCATTTCAAGTACTTGCCATCAAGTTCTCGTTTCTGACATATGACAATTATGTTACAGTAGACACAAAGACAACCTGTAACTGATTGATACTCATCCTAAGCGTGGCAGTGTCCCATTTTCAGAATTTCTAATTTAGCTTGTAAAACCTACTTGAAGCAAAGGCTCACCACAGTAACAGGGCACAGAGAAGCCTTTCTTTGGATTTTATCTTTAATTATGCTTTACACCACACAGAATGTAGGAGTGTGTTTTGTCACAGCTTTTAAAACAAGATCTTAACAGTTCTTTTGTGCTTCCACAACACACATTATGGTCTTACTAGTTAAATTTTTCATTTGCAAGATAAAAAACAAGACATATGTAGTAAGTTCATTTATGAAATCACTTTATTATATGATGTAAAACTAATTTACCTGTATCTTTACATAAAGCAAAGTGTTATTACTTACGCAAATCTCAAGTTTAATGGTGTTAATATGACTTTAGGACAGTATATTGTCATTACTAAATGCTAAAAATTAGACTTTATAATTTGAGATATTAATGACTTCAGTTGGGTGAAAGATCACAGATTAATTTCCTTAACTTCGTCTATTTCAGGAATGAAAAAATGCAGTCTGTCACTACAGATGCGGTCTTTCCCAATGTTTATAAAATTTTCTCATCTTAGAGTAAGAACAAGAGTTAAAGATAACGTGTTAATCAAATCAGAGAACAAGAGAATGTGCTTTCTGCTTTCAAATTCTGAACAAAAAGCACAAGAGCAAAGAAAGCAAATGATGTGCTACAGTCGATAATGATACATGGTATACAAGATTAGCAAGGCCTCTTTTCCAGTCCTAAACAATTGAGATTCACTACCAGTTCGTCGTTTAATGTGCAGTACCTCCAAAATTTCAGAGATCCTTCTCTGTATAATGATGCAGGAAAATATCATTGAAGCACAATAACCACATACCTCTGTTTTTCACGTATATCCTACTGCTGCATTGCTAAAAGGTAAGAATAAAATGTAGGGATTTTTCTGAGGTCAGTCAGCTGCCACAAATTCTAGACCATTATGCTCTTTACCAGTCCCACTCAGTCCTGTAACAGTTGCTCTGCAATAAGCTAACAACTTTGAACTGCAAGGTTAATTGTTCTGGCTTAGCATTGAATGTATTCGAGAACACCAGGGCAGGGGAACAATTACATATTGTTTCAGTATTAAATGCTAAAGGAGTAAAACCAAAACCAAAAACCAAAAGACAGAGATCCTTGTTCCTAATCTTCTCTAAATGCTAGCTGGGTTTTTTTGTTTGTTTGTTTGGGGATTTTGGGGTAGTGGTGGAGGGAGAACACAATATGCTTTCTAACACCTTCAAACACTTTTCCTTGAGCTTGTTTAGAAACTTGAAGAGAGAATCTGAACCTCAGATCACTCTTCTCCAGATACAGACACTTCCTGGCAAGAAACGTTCCCCCCCACCCCCGCCCCGTTTTCGTTTAGCTTTCCAGATAATGGTAGAAACCGTCTATCATTTTTTACTACCATATGTGATGTCTTGAGTCCTTTCCGTCTGTCTTCCTGAATGTTTACCTAGACATCTCCTGGGGTAACTTAGTACTTACCTCTGGTATTTTAAGGAGGTTTTAACTCTGAAAGGGCTGGTTGCTGTTATAGGAGGATTTTCATTCACTTCAATTGTCTGTTGGAAGGAAATACCTTTTGTTTTGGTCTCCAGCCACAGTCTGAACCCAGGGAGACTCAGAAGAGCCTGCTCCAGGGGTTCCCAATTAAAACCAAACAGACCACTAAAAACCAGCTTATTGGCATCAGATCATACTCTTTTGGAGAACACTCCCCGCAAACCCCTGCATATCCTTCCGCCTGTAATATTCATCATGCACTAACATATCTTGAGAACCGTGTCCTAGCTATAGTAACTGTATAGAATCCATTATCCCAATCTTTTGCTTTTATCATGTAACTAATCCCTCATAATGTCAACCGTTCTTTATTTTTTAAAGAACGATTATCAAGCAAAATCAGCTAAATTATTTAAGAGAGAAAAAAGTCAAAAAAAAAAAAAAAGAGTTAATTCCTTCAAATAAAGAAACCTTGTCATAAAATTCTTAAGAAATCTTTTCCCTCTCCTCCTCCTCCATCAACAGATCAAGTAAATCAGGGAGCCAACTACCATCAAGGAAGGGATGTTCTATTTTGCAAATTTAACACTACATTTTTCCCTTGCAAGTACAAGATCAGTTACCTAATTGTTTTTAAGCACCTCTATATTTAGGTAGAAACACAGTCCTACCAGATTGAATCGCTCTAACAATTTGATTCTACATGGCTTTGCATTCTGAGATTACTATCAGAAGACTTTGCACTGTCTTTACTTTTAAGATAATCTTTTCACTGTCATGGATCATTTACAGACTGTAAAAGCCCGCAGGTAACTATTTTACACTCTCCAAATGACAACATTCAAGAGATATGAATGAAACACTAGGTAGGACCATAGTGAAGTGAAAGGAAGAAAAGGTGAATTATTTTACATTCTAGTAGATACATGCATATAAATATTACACACACATACGTATTCAAGTAATGAAAAAGAGAGAGCATGCACACACACGCACATGTGCAGTGCAGCTTTCCCGGCAAGCATCTCAACAGCACACATAGCCCTGCCAGCTGTTCGGTCCCACGTGAAAACTTTACCGTCTGAAGTTTCAAAGAGAATTAAGGCTAACTGCTCAAAAAATAAGCCCCACAGACATTACTAATACACAACACAATAGTAACACTTTAGGGAGCCCTTACATAAAAAAAAAAAAAAGATTTTTTTCATTGTGCAAAATATATTTTTTGCAGAGATGCACAAATTCCAGGAATTAAACAAAGCATATACATATATTAATTATGTTCAATGAGGTATCTTTTTGAAATGCTGATTGTTGATAAGTGAACTAATTTCTATTCTACATGCTAACTCTAGTGGAGAGAGAGGGATGTTTTTTAAACAGTAAGACACCTTTTCCTTGAAGTAATTTCCCCTTTAGTCCCAACTGTTTTCAAGAGGGATATGGGGGATGTTTTCCTGAGGGCACTCAGGCCCATTTCTAAAAAGAAAATTTCACTTCACAGGGACCTGAAGAAGGCTACACCAGCATTTTACCATGGTGGTGAAGGAGAAGGAAAGAGTTGTGGTAAAGGCAAGGTAACTCTGTTAAGAAAGAGTTGTGGTAATGTGGTTAAGAAAGAGTTGTGGTAATGCAAGGTAAACTCTGTGGTAAATGCAAGGTAAGTACCTTGGCTTTTATTAAGGAGCTAGCTACCCTGCACTTCCCTCTCACTTACTCGAAGAAAAAGCACGCACATAGGCACTTACAAGGCCCTGGTTCAGCCTGGTAAGTTTAACACTCACATTGAATGAGTGAAGTAAAAAGGATATGCACATCAGAAGATTTTACTTCAGACTTACTAATGTTTAAATAACGCAAGCTATTTCACTTCCCCTGCCCCCCCCCATCAGTACATTTGGCCAAGACAAACCTTGGCTTAAATTTTAAAATTAAGCCCACCTGGAAGTAAAGGTTTATGGTATGCATTGCTGCATCTTTATTTAGCAATTGTGACAGCACTTTGACAAAAGCAGCATGTGAAGATATCTGCAAATTACACTCCTTGAAGTCTCAACTAAGAGCTTGAAAAATAGAATTACATTGAATGCGTAACTGCCATTGTAACAGCGGCATTTCCTCTCTTAGTATCTTACAAACAAGGAGCTTTCAAACACCTGCAATTCATCCCTAAAACGCCACTTCAAATAAATTCTGCTTCTAAAAAAGAACAAAACAAAACAAACACAACAGCACAAAAGTACCATGACCAACACAATCTTAATTACCTAACCTCAAACCTTTGCCAATTACTTCTCTTCTCAGGCAAGTTTTTAATCTCTGATTCTAAAATGTTTTAAGGATTTTAGCAAATTTGTTTTTGTCTTTGAATAATTTACAAATAGGAAAGCACTATTTCCACATAGCAGAGGTTAAAAGCCATATAAAAATTGCAGCCAGGAGTTGCAGGTTACAGTTTTTGTTTGACCACTGGATTTCTTACATTGACTCTGATTTTCTCCTTCCTCCTCTCTTCAGTGTGCATCAGCTCTTCATGGAAGGACCCTGTCTGAATTGGTTGCAAAAGGTTTCAGTCTTTGGTGGAAACATTACGCATGACTATAACGTCTATACTTCAAAACAGGCAGCAACAGCCTTCGTTTTTTTCTTCACAACTGATAACTTCAAGAAGGTAAGGAGCTAACGTTTGTCAAGTGCTCCTATATCTAAGAAGAAAGAAGCACTTGCAAAGCCAGAATAGAAAGCAAGCGAACAATCCTTCTTCTAATGTGCTCTGGAACTGAAACAATCCATCCTTCTTTTGTTTTTTAAAGCTATAATTATTTTCTCACTTAGTCAGGATATTTAAACTACTACTAAAATTCTTTTCCTAGAGAAATACTCTCAGCAAAAATATCATTTTAAAAGATTCAAATAAAAATCCAAAAGCAGCTTTGAAAGTACTCAAAAACATAACCTTTTGTGGACGGACCGACTCGAGGGATTGGCGAATACAAATCATTTCATCTTTAAGTCACTACCTCGAGCACAGCTCACATAACAGCGATTCAGATACTTGGGAAAATGAACTGACAGCTTCTCTCCAAGCTTCAGTGAGCAAACGTCCACATTAGCACTATCACTTATGATGCCCATCCACACAGAGATGCCAATATTAAAAGAATCTGTAAAGTGACTGTTCCCTGGTATTACATAAATACACTACATACACGGACAGCATTCCCTCGAATGCCTTTATATGCAATAATTTGTTTCTAAATGAACAACCTAATGAGGATTTTGAGTCTGAAAAATATTTAAGAACAGAAGTAAGTTTTTAAAATTTTCCCTATCTGTAGTCAAGTTAAGGAGTGGAAAGTCACTATTTGTCATTAGCTATGTTACACAATGATCACATTAGGAAAAAGGTAGGAAAAATTCATTTGTCTGCTGCATGAACAACTTCCTGCTTATGATGACCAACCTGATATTTAATTGTATATCCAGCACCTCAGAGGAGCAGTATTATACACAATATAAAAAAGTACATCATAAGTGAACAACAACAAAAACTTCATACTAGTGATAAATCTGTACTATTATTGACCAAAGTTTCACATGGGTCTGATCACAAGGAACTGAATATCTACAAGCTGTAACAGGACTCAGTATCAGTAAAGTATCTAAAGAAATTAAAAAATAAAAAACACCACTATCAGTAATATTACTATAATACCACAATTGCTAAAAATACTGCACAGCTTGAAGCATGTTATTGTTTGATTTTCCAAACCCCATCACAAATATGAATCCAATTATAACATCGATGTAAGCTCTTCCAAAGGTTGTTCTGTAACAGCAGTAAATCTCAATGGATAGATGAGTTCTGCAGCAGAGATGATGTAATATATAAAAATAGACATCCTTTGACAGAAGCTGCAAGTTGAGTAAACAGCACACTGCATACCATTAATTTTGCATTAATTTGCCAGTTTACATTACTACAAAGAGGATGACCTAACAATTTCGGTTTACTCTTGGCATTACACAAAACAAAACGGTGGTGTTGCTCATATATGAGCATATAATACGTAACTTTAAACGGTAACAATCCTTTACAGCATAGACACAAAAAAAGGAAATCGTGCAGCTTAGAGGTTACGTTTTGCCAAAAAATACAGAACACGGGGATGGGAATTATGCATGGTCATTATCTGTGGACGTTCCCATAAACAAACATGCAACTTCTTGCGGGGGTGAGGGGAGGTTAACTGAAATTGTCTAAATAACCTCAGGAATCCTGTCTCTCTGACAAAAATTGTGGGGTAGCTTTATATTTTCCCCAAATGTCTCACTTTAAAATACATTTGTATTCTTGTAATAGAGTCACAAACTCTGAGGAATGTACATTATTGCATAGGTGTTCCAGTATTGCACATCCAGACTAAAAATACATATTCAGTATTTCATTTTTTCATATTACTTAGTATGATGTACAGGCCAAATCATGAGTAGATTACCATCATGAAATAATAAAAACTAAAAGTTCCTTTTGAAATCGCATACTGAATTTTATAAATAGACAAAAGCAAATAGAAAAATATCCTTCCTGATAAAAGGACATTAACATTCGTCAAATATTAAGAACTAGCTTTCTTTTACAAATGGAATGATCAATACAATATTTCCTATTTTTAATGCTTTTAAACGGAAAGGGTTATCAAGACAGACAAACCATTAGTTGTGCAAATAAACATGCAGTATTTGTGCAAATGTGTAATTAAAATACACTTGCATAGCATGCTTCTTCCTGTGAGCAACACAGTTGTAAATTAAGGTGTGTGTACAATTTTGTTTTGAGTTACCATTTCAGCAGTAACATTACTTAAAAGGATTTGTTTCATAACCATGGACAGAACAACTCCAGTACTCTTCCTCTACTCTGAAAACCTCCCAAAAACGTTCTTGCGACTTAAATGGAAACATGAAAGTTAATTATCAGTGGCTATTAATTTTAAGTGAGGAGACCTTTTTGCATTCAGTTTGCGTGCCACATTATTGGGCTTTCACAGCTTACTTTCTCCTTGCTTGGCGATTACCTCTCCATGTTTTTTCCTCTACTTGGCAGAGAACTAAGTTAGCATAAAGTTTATAAACTAAACCTATTTAAACAGTTTTCAGCTGTCATAAGTCAGACTAGTCTCTAAAGACAAACCTCCAAGCGTCTTGTTTCCCCAAACTCTTTTAATTATCAAGTATACCTGAGCAGGATTCCCAGCAACTTTTCTGGGCTTTCTTTTTCCTTCCTAAGTAGCCTTACTTAACACTTCAAGATCAAGACCATTCAGAAACTTTTCTTCCCTGCCATGATCTCTCCGTATCCTCTATATCCTTGTACAAACTCCAGCTCTTCAGTGTGCCTGTACTTCCTTGTTCACTGCCCTACAAATAATTCCCATAGACTTTACAAATTTGCTCTTTTGTGGTTCTTTCTTGCTAAAAGCAAGCTTTTTTGTGACATGAGTGCTTATGATTCTGAGTATTTATTAAATGAACTTACATTAGAAAGTGCTAGATAATTCTTAAAATCATCAGGAACATTATTTAAGCTGTGCTAATTACAGGTGTGAAGGACTGACAGTATCTCGTTAAACTAATTTCTTGTATTTGAGGCATCTGACTGATTCAAACTAAAATGAATGAATTTACGTATATATTTATATATGGACACACACATATTTTAAAAAGCTAGTTTTAAGCACACCGCTATATTGACATCCATTTAGTATACAGAATACAATGCATTAACAAGAATACATATAGCAAGACATATCACAATACCATAACATCCACATTGTTGAGAAGAAGAAAATGCATATTAAATATTTCATTATTATTTGAAATGATTCACAAAAAAAGACAACAAACAAGTCATATTTTACAATAGAGATATAAATATAGATGCTGAGAAGCAACTGCAGTACGTTGTTTTTTAACGTTACATCTTGTTAACATTATACTGAGAGACTGTGATAAAGTCCTAGAATGGGAACTAGCTCTTTCAAATTCTAAATTATTGTATTAACCGTAGGAAAGCACTGCTTGTCATCTTATAAACTTACACATTGCTGCAGTCAGCCAAACTCACTGAATAAAGTACGGAAAACAACTAGGCTATTGCATCAAATTTATGTAGAAAAATGTAAAATTAATATTTTTTAATCCTAAATGTAGAAATATTACATAAACTAGTTTGTTTATTTTTAAAATGTAAATGGGCAGACACAAGAAAAAGCAAGTTTGCTTTATAAACAGAACCATCTGAACATAGACTTTTAATCCAGGACCTTTAGATTCTCAGAAGACCATGCAAATGCATATAATATCAGGAAAAAAGACTACTTTGCCAATGCTTTGCAATAGCTGTTAGTTACAAGAGAGGATACTGGCAGGAAGCAAGGTTCCTACAATTTGGTCTTGACTTGAAAAGAGCAAGTTCAAATACTTAAAGAAAATACAAAAAACTAGAACAGATCCACATACTTATTTTTAGGAGACTTATGGCTGTGGATGAGACAACTTGGCCACATTAGAGACAGCTCTATGTCCAGTCCTCTTCTCATTCAAAGTCTCACTCATCTCATCCACAAAACCCAGAAGGACAATAAGCTGTCTGCCTTTAATGCACTGGCACAATAACTGGCTCAACAGCAGAGCACGTGAGGATAAAATTATTAAATGCTTGCAAATGCGAAAAAGGCAGAAATTGATGGTTCTACGCCCTCCACATTTCTCCTTAAGACACAGGATAAAGGGGTTGTCACCTCATGTGAATCTTAAGCTAGACGGAGTAAGAGAGCCTAATACAGGCAGACAGACCCTTTGCAGAGATTTTAGCAGCTGTCTTTAAAAAGCCTGGCTGAGCATGCACTAGTAGCAATTTTTAAAAGCTTGTAACTAATTCAAATGTGGATGGATTCATGGAGGGTGAAAACCACATCCTGTAGTTTCTGCTCAGGACTATTCACAGTTGCTTTAGCATCTTTCTTACAGGCCTACCTGCATTTCTCTAAAAACTCCTCATGAAGCTTGGTATTTTACCTTTAGTAAAGTAAAATCATACAGATTAGTAAAAGTCCACAGCCCAGGATACATATCAAATTGAAGGCACAGGAGAGATTACCACAAACCAGGGAGTTACAAGTCACTGCTCCTAACCTCCTTGGCCAGGCTAGGCTTCTATGCTAAAATTCTCTCGCTCTCTCTTCAATAAATATGGTTCGTTTCTTTCCAGGAACTCAGCGTTCCTTATCTCGAGGTCAGCGCTCACCAGTTTTTCAGTGGATTGAGCCCTGAGTCCAGAGAACCCATCCCTACAAAAATTTCTGCTAAGAGCGATAATGTACTACTCGACGATAGGAACCGTACTGACATTTGAACCCTCTGTGTCTTTTAGACAAAGAAATTGAATTGAGCATCAACATGATACTGAGGGAGCTTTTAAAATGACCGCATTTCCTGAAAAAATATCAGCATAATAGAGTAAAGTAATATTTGAAGGAAAGGAAGAATTCTGAAGCAACAGTAAAGAGTTTTCCATAACACGTGTATCAGCTCCATCACAAAAGAGATTTCTCAGTCTTAACAGTGGACGCATCTAACAGTACCAGCAAACGTTCTTACTAAATGTTGTATTTGGCAGATGCTTAGTATTTACTCAACTTGGCATTGATAAATACAATGACAAATTTAAGTTAAAAATTTAAGTTAAAAAGATGCCGTTCAGATCTTCAGATCACTTGGATCCTGTCTGAAATCTGATGTCAGTCAAAATTTTTTGCATTTTATTTGTTTGGGTGGCAGTCCAGACACTCGACCTATTCAAGCACACTTGTCTCACTGGTTTGACGAGCCTATGTCTACTCCTTCACCCTTTCAACTAATGCCCATCTACAAATGCCTCAGGAGGAGTCCACACCATGCTACTTCCCAACAGTGAATCAGTAAGCAGCATCAGAATGAAAGACAAGTAAAAGATACATACACTTACAAGCCTTCAGCTAAAGAAAAGCTTTCTGCTGCATCTTCGGCGCATATCTTGTCATGTTCTATTTCCTTATTCTCGTGCCACGCAAACACTAAACAGCTAAACAGGGCCAATTTTTTGAACCAAAATCAAAGACTGAGTCCTCCATTTCACCAAAGAGATACATGAGTACAATACGGGAAACGCTAAATATTTTATTTACAGCCTTTTCCTTATCATTCTCTGTTGTAACCTCTAAAGCACAGGACAGTGAGCAACCTCAGTATAAAATAAAAAAAAAAAAATACTACGTATCAAAGCAAAGGATAGGAGATAATTTTAGTCATAACATTGCATCAGTTTTATGACATCACACTGAAAACCACAAGTAAATTGTTAGTGGACCATACACATTAAGTTACAATACCTGGGGTTTAGTGCATTCCTGAGAGCCAAAATGAAATGAATGCCATATAGGAGGAAAGGAAAAGATGAACATTATCAGACATGCCATAGTACATTCCAACACTATGAACATAATGTTAAAATTATGTTAATGAGAATCCACAGTCCCCTACAAGTTGGCTTTATACGCAGAAAGCCATGCCACAAATGAAGGCACTGCATTTAATTTTCGATTCTTGAAAAATATCGCAATGCAGTTGTTTTATTTAAGACTGTTTAATATTTTCTTCTACATTTTCAAAACAAGATATAAAACTTTCCTCAGAAAATACTGCTCAACCTTTCTGAAGAATAGCATTCTGAGATTACTGGAAATAAAGCATTAATAATTCATCAACAAAAATTCATACTTCATGGTAGCTAAGGATTTGGGGTAAAGCAAAAAAAAAGAAAGGATAATCATATATTTGGAAGAAAGGATAATTATATATTCTGTGAAGACTCTGAGTATGCAATCTGTGAGGCCTCATTAATTTGAATCAAAATGTATCTAACACCAAAACCAGAACACAACCACAGTGAACAGCAAATAAACTAATTCATCATATTCATTTGTGTTCAGTTTGTCTTTAACATGTTATCTGCTGCAACCTCTGACCATCTTCATTTCTTTAATGATTTTTTTTGTTAATTTATCCAAAATTTAGAAATAGAACTAAAGATGAGATCCTGAAAGATGCTGATCAATGGATGGGCAATAAGTCCTCAAGATTTATGCTAGAATATGCTTTGAATTCCTATGCGTTTCAAAAACAACTAAAAAAAGACTTTCTTCAGGTGATTTTTCAAGAAATTAAGATTTTTAAAAAATAAGATCAAGGGACAGAAAACAGGAAGGCAGAAAAGACAACACAACTTTTAACATGAGTGGTTGAAGCAACAGAAGTAATGTTGATAACAGAAAATAACAGGAGAACAATGTAAACAAGATCACCAAATACTGTAAAAAAGGAGGAAACAGGCCAACTTGGGGAAATCTTTAATATAACATAAAACTCATTTGAGCTTGTTTGACTTAACATTTTCTTTTAAAAAAAAGCAAGTCAATTATATGTATCACAGTACACTTTTAAAAACATTTGACTGCGATTATTTCAAATTTTACAGTTTATTTGGCAATCTCTTCCAACTCAATATGAAATCGCTCTTGTAATGAATTCCCCCCCACACACACACACACAATCATTATGAACTCACACAGCAGAATGGCACACAATGGGCTTTTGATCTTAGTACCAGAGTTAAACTTGCAACAACTCATTGTGTACACCTAAAGTGAAATTTATACAACAGGTCTGGAGCTACTATTGCAAATGGCTCTGATTGTAATCTAAATATTGTCTTTTCAGAGTTAGACAAAAATTACACTAGTACTGTTGCTAAGCACAACGTATACATCTAAATAACACAAACAAAAATAATTCTTCCTGTTCTTATAATTCCTACCAACTACAATTATGCCACATTTTTATTTTTTCAAAAACAGACCAGTAAAATGTTTCATCTTCAAAGCAAGTGAACTGGCTCAACGGAAACATCCATAATAAATTTGAAGGCAATTAAAACTACACTGAAAATCAAACCATTAAAAGCTGTTGTATAAACAAAAAACAAATTGCTGGCGTAAAATGTAATTATTCAACTCATGAGGAAAAGCCTGTGCAATTAACAGGAGATGTAATCAAACATCTACACACTCAGACACACATTGAATATACAGGGAACTGGCAAACCAATCAAGGAATAAGGATAAAGAAGGGGAAAAGGATAAAACTTACAACTCTGCATTAGATCACAGACAGTATTTTAAAAACACCAAAGACCTAATCCTGCAAATTTATATGCATGTGGCTTACACTATGCAAAATTCAGCCCAGTGAACTCTATGAGATTAAATGTGCATGAAGTTATTTATGCCCACGCCTGCATGGGTTCTGCAGATTTGGGGGTTTAAACAATCACACGAGAGCCAAAGACAAACAGCTTTTCCAGTAGTGTGCTTACAGTTGAAAGTAACACCAGAAGAAACCATATTAATCTAATAGAGCTTTTCTCAATTTGAAGGTCACATAATTAAAATAACTAATAATGTTTTGTTATTAGTTAATTTCAACCCAAGAAAAAGCCTAATATATATATATATATATATATAAAGGAAAAAAATCACATGATCTCCCTGATAAAAGACAGGCTAATGCAGTTCACTGAAACCCAAGTATATAAAGGTTCTTGAGGCAGTCATCGGTAAAGGTTAATTTGACTTTAAGGTCTGGATTCCAAAAAGAAACAACAGATCTAATTTGGCCTACTGCAATGCAATACAGTCCTTTTTAGGCCACAACAGTTGTTATCACCATATATATGAATGAGTGCTTCACTAACTGACCTTTAACACTGTACATTAAAATATTTGTACTGTAATCAAATATTGAAAAGAACTTAGAATACCATTTAGCTGCTTTCTTTCACAATTGCAAATAATGACTGGAACACCAAGGCATAACGTGTGACATTTACGGTCAAAAACAAACATGCTTTCAAACCTCCACCTGAACTAAGGTGCAAGTTGCACCCACGTTCACATATTACTACAGCCAAATTCCCAGCATTTTAAGGGGAAACTCCTCCACAGAATCCCACTTCTTTAAAGATGCCAGCAAGTTTGGCCATTTTCAGTAGTTTTCCTGTTTATGTTCTTGTAAACCATAAACACAGACAGCTTACCGTATGGTAACCTCTAGGTAGAGGTGGTTTCCCCACGGGATAAGGATCAACAGTATCGATAATTGTTTGCCGCTCCCCTTTTTGGTTGATTTTCCTAAATCTTCTTCGGGATTGCCTATGAGAAGCTTGGCGCTGAAAATACTCTTCATTTTCATCCATATAATCAACCTATAATAAACGCAGTGAAGTGTCATTTCCCAAAAGAAATAAAAATGTTACTGCATGTTAGCAACATCACTAATCCAATTCCAAGAGAAAGTGGTTAGCTATGCATTTCCTGTATTTTAGCGCTACAGTGAAGCTACTTAAAAAAAAAAAAAAAAAACAACCCACAGGGATGACCAAAAAAGTAAGCATTGGTATGAACAGAATCACTGAGTGTAAACACTTCTTTCAGAAAAGATAAAGGAAAAATGCTTTTCCCCCCCTCAATTCTTATTCTAGCACAGAATACAAACACTTCAGTACTCAATAAACTATAAAAGGGAAATTCTTATGGGAAAGCATTTGGTAGTTTTCCTAGTGACTTCCACTGATTACTTGGGATCTTCCCCAACCAATGTGTGGGAAAGGCTCCTCTCTTCAACAGGCAATGCTATTTTTATCATTTGCTTCAAATATTTTGAGACTTAAAAGAAGGATTAGCAAAAGACTGCGTTTACATTTAAAAAACCACTTCTAAGTAATAGCTGGAAGAATAAAAAAAATGATATTAGGAACATCCCAATATGAAACCAGCTTTCTCTGTTTCATAGGCTGCAAAGTCATAGTCCTAAATTCCTCACAGTAGCATACTGCAGTGAAAACACTGGAACAAGGCATTCTGCTTTTCCTGAAAGAGGAGAACAATCTTTTTATACTAATTCAACGTCTCTTCTGTGTTGGTCCTACTAATAGGAGCCTGACTACACACTGACAGTAAAATGAGACTTTTCAGCATCAGCCATATATGGGGACTCAGTTAACTCATATTCTTCAAATCCGTCCCCCAGGGATAAACAACACTTCTAAAGTTGCAACAAGCTCTTCCGGCACCTAGCAAGGCTCCTCCCTATTTTTCAACAGGGAAAAGAAATATTAGACAAGAATACTGTACTTCTCCTCCCAAGAATTTGCAGCATTCCTCTGTCACAAGGGTCACATACTAGTCAGTACATATCACTAAATACCACTGTCCGGTGTACTAGCACGTGGGGATGAGCACAGTTCCTGGTTTTCCAGGAAAAAATGGCAACTCTCAGCCCTCTCACCACAGAGCATGTTTTTCACATCTGAGACTGTCATATCCATGTTACAGACATTTCTCCCTTCTCCTGCCCCTCAGCATAGCCCCTTTCAGGCCTGAGACTGGAAGGTACTGCGCCCGGCAAACTCAGGAGACAGAATTCTTTCTATTCGTAGTACAGTTATTCCTTTTAAAAAGCTGGATTGAAGTGTACACCAAGTGTTTCATTTGAACTTTTCCCCAACTCTGGGGATTTTTTTTCCAAACTAAAAAAAATCCATTTTGAGGTACCGGCCCTTGATCTAAGATTATCTGTCAGTCCAGAAATTTTCTTCTT